AAAAAACTCTGTCGATTCAGCAAAAAAACTCTGTCGATTCAGCAAAAAAACTCTGTCGATTCAGCAAAAAACTCGGTCAATTACGTAACAATAAGCACGTGTCATATGTCTTTTGTCAATCATCACGCGTAAAACTCTGTCGATTCAGCAAAAAAACTTTGTCGATTCAGCAAAACGTTTTCGATTACGTAACACAAGTAGCACAAGATATGTCTTTTTTTCGTCAATCATCACGCGTAACATCCAAAGCTCCTCTCAGTCGACGCCAGAAATATTATATGGTTGCATTTTTATAGTAGCACTGTTAGTCACTAAATACACGGCCGGCCAAGTAAAAGTAAGAGTTTGTTCGCCGAGAACGGAGGCATTTAGCTATATATAGACCGGGGATAAATGTATCAAGCATGAACAATACATTCAAAGACCCTTCTGCCCACTACACAAGACTTTACAAGGCATTGGAATATCATAGTTTATGACTCAACTATATTAATTATACTGAGAGAAGGTAGATTGAGCTGAGTAATGCTCATCATCGCATGGGGAGCTTTTATAACGATGCTGGCATTTCAGGCTTTAACTTAGAAAATGATATATATACTTTCAATTACACAACGTTCTTGAATCAACCTCAATCAATTTGTGCAACATATGTTCTTTACATTTTTTCTTAAATTTATTCAGTTTCAAGCTTAATGCAAAATGATTATATAGTACTATAAATGATTAACTTTTGATGGCCTTATGATCGGAGCTAGTAAGTGGTTAATTAATTTTTTTTTTTGCAAGTCAGAATCATGACGATTCTAGGTTTATAATGCACTAAACAAAATTGAAGAATTTTTTGTCCAATCAGAATCGGGTAATTTAGTTTATTATAATGTACAAGTGAAATAGTTTATCGAGATTTAAATTAGTTTCCATCTTATTTGGTCTTCCTTGACTTCGAACTCCGTCGGAACTTGAGATGCCTTAATTGAAATCGCCCTCCTCCACTTGCGTGCTTTTGTCTATCAAGTGTTTCTCTTCAGCGAACTGCGCGTCTATTTTCAAAGCGGCCAATGCCTTAGCAACATCATCCTTTGACAGCTGAAAAAGCCCTTCCCTCGAAATACTTCCAAACAGGACCCTTTCACTCATGGCTTCTTTTATCTTGACAAATGCTCGGTTGCATATTGCCCCGTTGAATAAGGCAAGATAGGATTGGGGAAGAGAGGAGAAAAAATCTACCCAGTTGATTTGGTCTTCACTGGAGAATCCCTGCTTTCTAATAAGAGTCGTCATAATATCCCCAAGTTCTATCGGGCTGTAATCGCGAAAATAAACGGGTTCACGGAATCGTCTGAATAACCCTTTGTTGGCAGACATAAAATGCTTCATCTCCCTCTCATACCCTGCTAGGATGAACACTGTTTTACAAAGCTGTCTATTATCTTCTTGGTTCAAGTGTTTCATTATCACACCAATGGCCTCTGCACCAAAGTCATTTTTTGAGACGCCCTCGCGGTACAACTGGTACGCCTCATCTATAAAGAGTATACCCCCCTCTGCTTCGCGTATCTTCTGGACTGTATTTGCTTCAGTGGAACCAATATGAACACCAACCAGGTCGTCTCTTTGTACTTCGACTACTTTGTTTTCTGCGATCATTCCAATGTCTTTGAGTATAGCTGTACGACAAGTAATACAGAATAGAGACAATTAAATATTACTCCGTGATCGCTGTATGCTTAGCGTACAGCCTAATATATCCCTTGTCTTTGATATTTGACAGATAGATACTACCCCAATAGCATTATTAACGCTTACTAAAAAATAGATATCTCAAAGCATTGTTCGGTTTACAAAACCGAACAATGCTTTGAACATGACATTGCAAATAAAAGCTTCGGTTACATGGAAAAGAGGAAGAATTTACATTGCTGTTGAGCTAGGTAACTACCTGCGAAAAGCCTTGCAACTGTTGTTTTGCCTGTGCCTGGGTTTCCCATAAAAACCAGGTTTAGGGGTTCTGGAATAACTCTTGCCCCAAGTCTAGAGCGTAATTTATCTAGAGCAAAATTTCTTCCAATATTACGAAGGCGATCTTTCAGTTCTAGCATTCCTTGAATACTTCCAAGGTGTTCTTCTATGGTAGAGAGTAAACGATGGCATTCCCCTAGAAAGACGGGTGAAGGAACAGATAGTTATTAAAGAGCCGAAACAATGGACGGACTGAAGAAGATGACATATAAATGCAAGAGTTAAACATCCCTGATAATGCATAGTAAGAAAGAAAAATAAAGAAAGGACACAACTAGTAAACAAGGAACTAGGACAGACAGACGGGCAGACAGACAAGCAGAAAGACACAAAAACGGATATAATAAAATTTACCCAATGTAATGACATTATCTGAAAACTAATTTGATTACCTGAAAGCTCATTTGATGCAGCGGTAGAGTTTGCTGTCGACCTCCGATTTGTGCCAGGCTTGGTTTGAAAGGTGACCACGCTCTCTTCTTTCAATCTACGACGTAACGGACTATCAAAACTGTACTATTTCTACAAGAACGGTCATATACAGGCGGTCAAATGGCTTTCCATTATACAAAAATGACAAAAGTAGGAAACGCACGCAGGTAAGGGAGATCATAGGAAAACATAGCGCATTAGCCAGTACCTTAGGAGGAGGGAGAGGGTTGGGAGAACAGTTAATTTTGTAAAGTTGAAGCAAAAATTTCCCCTCCCCTGGGTGAACGCATGATGCTACCTAACATATAAAAAAAGTCATATAAAAGTCGTAAGTACCTGCTTAAAATTTCTTTTTTCTTGTCGTTTGTTAGACGAAATGGGTAGCCTCCAAAGGATCCCAGTTGACCATAAACAGCACAAACTTTCAAACATACACACAATAAAACAAAAAAAACCGAAGCATTAACGAAAACAAAACAAGACAACAGCGGAAAATTATAAACATTATCCTGATACCAGCAAAAAGGTAATGGTAAACCTATCAATGCTGTCGTTAGCTGCTCCGCCGTGCAAATAATTTTCAATTACTTCTGTCATCTTGAAAGTGGTCGTCTTGCCATCATTATACAATATCCTAGATAACAAAACAATTTAATAAATTACAGCGAATCCGACTGCATACGAAAACAAAAACAAAACAAAACAAAACAAAACAAAAACAAAAAACAAAAACGAAACAAACGTAATATACGTAATTACCACGAATCAATATCTTCACCATTCTTTACAGCAATTGAAGAATGTGAACGGATTTCCGAGTGTATAATCAGAGCCTTCAAACCGTACCCCTGACCTGAAACCTCGGTGTCCACTTCTGGATCTTTCAAAATTCCAAAAGGAATCGTTTTCGGAATTTCAAGGATTGTTCTATCCTGCAAATAAAATTAACAAATATTAAAGAAAACATATGTTCATATATATAGAAAATGTGAAGTAAACCTAAGCAAACACTACTATTGAAAATTTAAAACAACATATTTATATTCAGTCTATTAATGTTTTCTTGACCGCATTGCCACTGTCACTGAATTGTTTTTTGTATTCTTATGACTAGTGGCGCTTTAGACGGAAAACCTGAAAAAATATTACGAGCTAAAGTAGTTGATCTCACCTTAATACCGATATCGTTATTTCTCTTTATTCCCAAGAGGAACAATTCTGGTAAAAACTCGCAAAAAATGCTTTCAAAAAATTCCTCTGTACCCGGCTCTAGAAATGCGAAGATATCCTCGTGTTAGTTTGCTATTGAAATAAAATTCGAAAACTTAAAAACTTTGATAATTATAGATCAAGAAGAGTCATTATACTTACGCGATCCAATATTTTCGAACTTTTCCACTATTTCTTGTTGAACACTCGTGCATCTTTTATATGCGTGGGAACTACGCAATATTTTACAAGCATCCTTCTCTTGTGAAGATTGAACCACGTAAACAATGGGACCGTCTTTTGAAATTAAGTTAATAACTCACAAAAATTCGGTAATTGTTATTGTTATCTTTTTGGAAAAAGCCTAAAGGTTTAGTCCTACGCTGTGAAGTGCGGTTAAAGGATACGAGAATATTCCAGACTGACTTCTTCTTCCTTGCACTTGACATTTTTGAGCCATTCTCCCATGAAACTGCTTTCGACAGCCTTGCAAAGTTCCTTTTGAAAGAGGAAAGGGAAGATATTCGGTATATGATACATCGTAATGCTTTTAAAGAACGTGTGTGAATCCCCTAACACTGTACGTTTGGATAAAGAGAAAAAAGTGTCGCGACAGAAAATCAGAATCTTTACCTCACTAGCAGCTTTGATGGTAAGAAGCGTTTTCTCCAATACCTCTAAAACGTCTAGTTGTTCACCATACTCTTTGCCAATGCTACATAAAAAACACTTAATGGCATTGTCCACGATTGCATTATCACGGCATCCACGCACGGCCATCAACTGTTGACACAAGCACACCTAATTAACGTAAATTCAAGTACATACATCGAATCAAGACAAGTTGTTGACAAGCTAAAAAGGTTCGTTTTAACACAACTTCTCTTTTAAGGGGACAGGGAGAGAGCACCTCGTTATTAGTAAGAATGCAAAGTTTTAGTTTATAATATTGACTATAGAAGAGAGATGACATTAAATATAGAATCGAATAACGTTTGCCATCCAACACATTTTTCCATACAAATCCATATAAAATATTCGATCGATTTTGTTATTCAATGCTCTTTCTCCTGTCTTACGAATTATAACCTGAAACTTTGCCCTCTCATTAATATCGAGGCGCCCTTTCCATTTCTATCTTCATTTTGACACAAATGCTATAATTTAAGGGAGCAGGGTCACGTGACCCACTGTTACAATAGGCCTATTTGTTAGGTTTTCATATTTTATTTAACCATGTATTGTTAATTAAAAACATAGATACCATTGTTTTGATAATTTTTTTTGACATAAGTAATACGTTTTATCTCATTTAATTGGGTTTTTTATGTTTTGTTATAGCAGACTTGTCAATTAATGATATTCCTCTCGAGGAATTAGAAGAAAAAAACAGTATCAATGACAATTCACTTACATCTAATAATGCAGAGCCTATTCTTGTGTTCTCTGAGAGTGCTATCATTATTGATGGTATGTACTGCAAGAGAGCAATAACCACTGAGACAGCATCAGTGGAACCAAAATTATGAAGTCCTGTGGAACGAGATAGGAAACATTTGAAATACGTCACTTAGTAGCTAAATTCCAGACTAATTCGTTTTATCGACAGTAAAAGCAGTGATAGTGTAGGCGCGGTAAGATATGATCTAAAACAAAATTACCCAACAGAATTTTTAATTCTGTTCCAGGGAAAACTTAATCTGACTAAATTTTCAAGATTACATACCATAATTTTTAATGACGGATTCTGTACTTTTTAACAGTTTTTCCTTTTTGAGGAAGTCCGGCAGGGACAAGTTCTGCTGACAGGGCTAGAAACAAGTAAAAGAATAGTCGCTGTATTAAGAACTCATTTCCAGAAGGATGTAGCAGTAAAAAGACATTCACAAGAGGTCGTAATGAACGAAAAGATAACTAATGAATTTGCACAGTAAAATAACGAAATAAAAAATATTTACCTCTCTGGGTACTTCCGGTGTAGAATTGGAGATTTGCATTCCAAGCTCGCTTGAGCTCATGGGGCCTGGAACACGAACTGTAGTCCCGACATAGGCAACTTCGTTCGTATTGTCTTCTATATCAGAGTACTCCACATCCTGATACTCTTCGCCCTCCGGCATATCCTCATCGAGTGTAGTGGGATTCGGGTCTATACCGGATGGGGAAGTAAGGCGAACGTACAGGTTTCCACTTCCCTTGAAGCTGTTGATTGCTTTGGCGTCGAATTTGTGTAACGCCGAAAGAGTTGGCTTGATGATTGACTTCCTGCCAACTCTTTTGACAAATGAAAACCTTCCTCCGTAGTTTTCCAGTCCTTCAAACATTCTAATAGTGGAAAGTATCTCTCGCTCGCACCGTTTCTCATCAAATGTTGAAAACAAAGTTAGTTGACCTGTACCCAGAGTATGGTGATGCGAGAAATCCATTTCCACTGGGGCACTAGGAACGTAGTCTAGAACGACCAAGGCAACGTCATACCTCCTTCCCTGAGACTTGCTTCTACCAGCGCGTGAATGGGTTTGAGCCCTTGACATTGGATTAAATCTGGGCGCAGAAAAGGAGGAATGAAGCCGAGACAAGTTGCCTAAGGCGGAGTTTGTGATTGAAGAAAATGATCGATTGTCGACATTGTTCGACGAAGGGTTGGAATCCAAATGTCCGTGGCCAGTTCTACCTTGACCAATTCTTTCGCGCAACTGCCCTAGCTCGATTTCCAGTTGCTTCACTCTGTCGTCATTTCCTCTGTTGGCTAAAGGAAAGGCAACGAATTAGAGAAATTTGTAGCCTTCTCAAAAACTATGGAAATGTCAAATTAAAAATGTTTGATATCACCTACCCATTACAATCAATTATAAAAGGTCCGTTTGCGGCTTAATGTCTGTCCTTTTTCTGACCTGCATAAATGAAAAGAGCAAAAACAGGCGTTAGAATTAACTTTAGCCTGACACCGACATATATATTTAAGTCATATACGGGCATGCGTAAGTCAAAAACATTAGATAATATAGAAAAATAAAGAAAATAAGAAGTTAGAGTTATAATGATACTGAAAGGGGTGAGAAAATGCCGTACGTGAGAAAATGTATTAAGACTTACTTTTTTGCTTCGCTCGCTGACTTTGCTGCTGTTTAACGTACTTTGACGACCAGGGGTGAGTGTAACGATGAGTGCATGGAACCTACAGGTTTTATACACTACGAAGGCATACCTCATTTTACCATATTTGGATTTAATGTGAACGAAATTTTGATTTTCGTGAATAAATGTTGCAATCCTTAAGGAAAGTAGGCATGCTGGATTTGCGAAATCTGTATACGTTGTGTAAGACCTACCATTAGAATAGATGGAAACTGAGATAAAGACGATGCTGTACATGTTATGCAGTCGGAAAGTTAGTGGATGTATAGCGTTCGTGTGTGTTAGAAAGTCATGTTTATTTGGATAGGGCAGTTAGAATGTTTGAAATCGTTGGTGGATTAATCCCTCTAGTCTAAGTAACGGTATAGGCACTGGTAGCTTGTACAATCAATTCAATATAAAGCAATTCATTGTTTACATGTACTTCTCCTATTAAAATACTTGTTATGATGACAGCATCCTGTTTACATAAGCTAGATGGTTAATTTCTTGTCAAACATTTTTAATTATTCGGCTGATTATTACTGAGTAGCGTACAAAGTTTAAAGACCAAATCAAATGCTGTTGCTTGTGTTTTTATCTATATTTCTTGATAGCTGGTTTCTTTTACAGTGCTTGCAAAATAACAGCAATTACAAGTTTGGTAAGAGCAATCTGAATGTCATTAGCAAGTCTTTACTATTACACACACACCCGGGAATGGCATTAGATAGTGACTTTCCTACGTCACGACATGGTGACGTTCCGCTGGAGTGACATGTGGTGCTCTATTTTGCAATAGAATTATAAAAACAATGTAACTATAAAGTTTAAAAATCTATAGAAGTTTCTAATTTTAAACTTTTTCAAATGGCGAATTCTCAAGATAGTAACCAGTATCTTAGTGATTTCATAGATTCCTGTAGTAGCCTCTTTAAAAGAAGCGAAAGACTAAAGGACTCGCAAGATCCTGCAGTAGTAGGTGACCTAAATCGAAGATTAGCAACCTCTCGTCAAGTTATTGGAAGGTTGCTATCCTCCACAAATGCAATATTTTCAAGTGACACAAAAGCATGCCTCAGTTCTCTGTTGCGAGACGTTAATGATCTCGCTGAGTACTGGACTCAGAGATCTGACATCCTGTCGCGGTCTGGGCTTCAAAGTAAGCAAGTAAATTTAAGAGATCAAGACAGAGCAGAGGTTTTTTACAGTGGTAATCCAGGAAGGCCGGCTCTTAAGGTGGATATAGAAAAAGTTAAGCTTTTGAGGGAAATTGGATTTACGTGGAAAAGTATCTGTGAGAAAGTTGGTGTTTCGTCTTCTACAATGAAGAGAAAGGTATCAAGGGAAACGAATATGCTGAAAAAATTTACAAAGTTATCCGAAGAAGAGTTGGAACTGGTCTTAAAAGAAATAAAGGAGTTGTACCCCCGTTGTGGAGAACGAATGGTGATTGGAATGTTGAAAGCACGTGGTATACATGTGCAAAGAGAAAGAGTAAGAAACATCATTCGTCGTATTGATCCACTGGGAACAACAATGAGATGGTTTGATGCAAACACTCGTGTGCCATATCAAGTGCCAGCTTCAAATTCGCTGTGGCATATCGACGCAAATTTAAAGATGAAGCACTGGGGATTTGCGATTCACTGCTGCGTTGACGGGTTTTCCCGTCTCATACCTGTGCTGATAACATGCGCTCAAATACTGTGCTGGAGGCTTTTGTTAAAGCCACGGAAACATATGGTGTCCCTTCCCGCGTTCGCGCTGATCATGGTACTGAAAACGTAGCGGTAGAGCGATTTATGAATAATGTGAGGGGAGAAGGTAGAGGTTCGCACATCAAGGGAAAATCAGTTCATAACCAAAGAGTTGAGCGAATGCATAGAGACGTTACACGCTGTGTTTCGTCAACTTATATCGATATCTTTAATTTTCTGGAAGAGAACAGTCTTCTTGATCGTGATAATGATGTTCATCTCTTTTGCCTTCATTTCACTTTCCTGCCTCGCATAAATCGTAGCTTAGAGGAATTTCGACAGGGTTGGAACTTTCACGGAACATCAACTGAAGGCAATAAAACTCCATTTATGATGTGGATTGAAAGTATCATCGATCCTGCAAACGAACCAAGGACTGCAATACAGGAACTTCTTAATGAAAATACGCTTCTTCTGGAGTCGGATGTTCTTACCTCTCCTCATGATGACGAGGAAAACGACGATTATGATTTGCCCAAGATTACCAGCCCGCTTGGCTCCGGCAGAAGTGATTTACTCGAAAGACGCATAAGTCCTTTGGATGATGACGAGAACTATGGAATAGACATTTATTTGAAAGTTCTACTTACGGTCCTTGAAATTTTAAACGGCGAAAACAACAAATAACTGTTGCACGGATCTGATTTCTCTAAAGCAGAATAACGTGTAAATCCTTTTTTAATGTTGGGACAGACAGACAGACAGAAAGACAGACATCTTATTTGGCGTTTTGCGCATATATAGTTGCATGCACATCAACTTAGTTCTAAATAAGTTACGAGTATATACGTATGTTTATGGATGCGTATGACATCGATATTCACATATTCCACACATAAACATRATACGTACATGTATATTCTGTATATATAAACGGTTCATATAACTATTTCGATAAAATGCGTTACTAATCCATCTTTATGCAATATTATAAAAGTATTGATTATTATTTGTTTTGTTGTTGTTGCTTTTTTTCACTATTAAAAACAATTTTCTTATCTCGGCCAATTACAAAAACTCGTTACAAATATTTTGTTCTGTATAAGTAGGATATATGTGTGTCAAAAGTTTTTATATTTAAAGATTGTGTATTTAAACCTAGAATCGTCATGATTCTGACTTGCAAAAAAAAAATTAATTAACCACTTACTAGCTCCGATCATAAGGCCATCAAAAGTTAATCATTTATAGTACTATATAATCATTTTGCATTAAGCTTGAAACTGAATAAATTTAAGAAAAAATGTAAAGAACATATGTTGCACAAATTGATTGAGGTTGATTCAAGAACGTTGTGTAATTGAAAGTATATATATCATTTTCTAAGTTAAAGCCTGAAATGCCAGCATCGTTAAAAGCTCCCCATGCGATGATGAGCATTACTCAGCTCAATCTACCTTCTCTCAGTATAATTAATATAGTTGAGTCATAAACTATGATATTCCAATGCCTTGTAAAGTCTTGTGTAGTGGGCAGAAGGGTCTTTGAATGTATTGTTCATGCTTGATACATTTATCCCCGGTCTATATATAGCTAAATGCCTCCGTTCTCGGCGAACAAACTCTTACTTTTACTTGGCCGGCCGTGTATTTAGTGACTAACAGTGCTACTATAAAAATGCAACCATATAATATTTCTGGCGTCGACTGAGAGGAGCTTTGGATGTTACGCGTGATGATTGACGAAAAAAAGACATATCTTGTGCTACTTGTGTTACGTAATCGAAAACGTTTTGCTGAATCGACAAAGTTTTTTTGCTGAATCGACAGAGTTTTACGCGTGATGATTGACAAAAGACATATGACACGTGCTTATTGTTACGTAATTGACCGAGTTTTTTGCTGAATCGACANCTGAATCGACAGAGTTTTACGCGTGATGATTGACAAAAGACATATGACACGTGCTTATTGTTACGTAATTGACCGAGTTTTTTGCTGAATCGACAAAGTTTTTTTGCTGAATCGACAGAGTTTTACGCGTGATGATTGACAAAAGACATATGACACGTGCTTATTGTTACGTAATTGACCGAGTTTTTTGCTGAATCGACA